CTTGCAGACCGCCCCGGCCGATGCGACAGACCCAGTGGTTGAAGGACTGTAGTGAACCAATCAGGGCAGCCGCATTTCAGTTGTCAGAACGCCCGGTCTGTTGATTCCTGGGGCGGCGGCAGTGTCGTCAACGGTAACCAGGGTGGGATTTCTCATTTCGATGTCGATGCCTCGATGCCTCGCCGTTAGGTATCGCGTCGACTATTGAAGCCCTTGCATCCATGAAGAAAGAATGCCAGTCTGCCAGCGCAGGCAAGTTGAATGCTGGCTCATATTGTCATGACGACGGCTGCTTGATTCTCAGTCGATGCAACACCGCTGCCCAAGCTATTCCATTCATACAAGTGCCTGCCATGCCTTTGCGGTATTGAAGAGCGTGGACTGGAGAGACACGTGATTCTGCTAGCGCGTCAAAGGCCTGGCGAGGTTGGCAACTTGACAACGGTCGCCATGGCCTTTGCCTGCACCGTGATTTCTCCCCGAGGCCTTCTGGGATGCGTTGGCTCAGAGTCAAAAGTCAAGGGCGCCAGGCGACTCCCGGTGCAAGAACTGCGGTGGCACGGATGCTCCAGCTCCCAGCCTTTCCCATCCCTGAAAGAAAGACAGCTCGCATCTGCGTCCCAGCGCGACCTGCTTCCTCGAGGCAACGGGTTGGCCGGGCGGATCACTTGTTGCCCAGTGCTGGGGCTGTACTCGTCGATATTGATAGTCCCCTGCATTGACCTGGACTGCAGCAAAAAAAGACATGGCGTTACGTCCTGCTTTTGCTGAAATTACGACAGGACTCACAGGGCAAATGGTTCCTGATGATATGACGAACTTGCAGAACACGAGTTCGAGACGGATACACGCTGTGGCAGTATCATATCGGTGTCAAAGGGAGAAAGATGTCCGGCGTGACCACGACCAATCGGCAAGCTGAGACCAACATCTGTGTTCGCTTTGAGAGAACAGGCAACGTCTTCAATGCTGAGGCTTTGGATGCCTGAGAAGCAGAGGTAGAAGCAATAATGCCTCCCTACCGGCTCCCTTTCGGGGCCGGGAACGCTGAGCCGCGAGACCGGGTCTGCGCCTTGGCCAGAGATGAATCCGCAGCAGCGACTTCAGGGCTTGGAGAAGCTTAGAGAAGCCCGGCACGCACTCAGCTGAGTGTTTTGTGCGTGTGTCAGCAGCTTGGTTGGTCGTCGGGTCTCTGCGGTGCGTGTGTTGTGTGTGTGTGAGTGCGTGAAAAGAGAGTGTGTGTGCTTGCGCGCGTGTGTGGTCTGGGGCTGGAAGCCATCCAACAAGTGTGCCAGTGTTCTCTGTGTGCCAGTCATGTTTGGCCGGTGGATCGTTCCGCTGCCGACTGACCCCCTGAGTGTGCATGCAGAGACGCCAGCGGCTGGAAAGCATTTGCTTGACACTGTAGGCAAGCACGGTGTCGTAGGAGGTGGAGCGTGCGGTAATTCTCTTCCTCCGCTGCAATCTCCTCCAGGTTGACTGGACATGAAATCGTACATTTGTTTTGCAGCTTGCTGGGCCCTGCTGCGGGAACAACAAATGTGCCAAAATGCCGCGTTTGGCTAGACCTGTTCGACGAATCCATAATATTATTTTATTTTATCCGAGGGTGACGACGAACAGGAATGGGCTTTGGTCTTGCCTGTAATGAAATTGGAAAATTGGGTTGTGCCGCCTCTGGCCCAGAGGGTTTCTGTACAGACCAGGCTCGAAGCAGCCTAGCCAACATTGGCTGCCGAGCTCCCTGAGCCTTGAGCCAAGGGTCGGTCAATGACGGGCAGGGTCGCGGTACCGGAGGTTTAAGACGGTAATAGTGGTGCGTCGTCTTGATGAGGCGAAACGACACACACTGACGTACCGTAGTGGCTGTCAGTTGTCGGAGTCTGGAGATACTAGCAGAGCAAGGAGCAATGGAAGAGACACATTTGCTCCAATAACTGCACATCAAAAAGTCTAGACACACCGGTACGGGGTCAGGAACATCCATGGATGGTTCTGGAGGCTTCAAATGCCGCAGTGATCATCCGTCCATGGCACTATGTCACTCCGCTTCTGCGAAGAAGACAGCAGTAGACTGAACGTGAGGCCAAAGTTCAGTTCTCGAGGGTGCCCGTACCCGTAATACTGAGCTGCACAACGGTGGTACGGTGACGGTGAGTGGATGCTGGCTAGGCTCGCTGAGTGCATCCCGTCGTCATAGCCTGGGAGTTGGGTGACTGGGTTTACTTGGGCCGCAGCGATCACCCAGCAGATCGGATGATGGGCACAGTCCACTGGCACAGACTGTCCCTTGCCCTTTGCAGTTGGGATTACAGGCAGTGGGCGACAAGATACGATCTGCCATTCGTCCGGCCCCGAAATAAGCAGACACTGAGTCTGTCAGTGTGGGAGTTGCTTTCGCCGTCAGTCTTGACTGGGTTGGGGGCCGCCGTCTGTGGTTTGGGCTGGGGTTTGCCTGGGACCGTCCCCGGATATGATGGGTATCTTGAATCATTAGCTGGAGTCGGAGACAGAGGCAGGCGGTGACCAGACTCGAGCAGCACGGACTCACAGCGGTTGAGAGCAAGGGCACATCGCAGTGCAGATTCTCTGGAAAGTATCGCAAAGGTTGCGTTGTCGCGCAGGGGCAGTATGAGTACCTGCTCTACCCGCGACAACCCAGCCTCCTTGGACCGTATGCAAGGTACAGGCGCCGGACACAAATTGCACAAGGCTAGCCCAATACTCTCCAGTACATCTAGAAGCCTCGGGAGACTGGGTCATCCCATCACGAAGGCGCGCTAAAGCTGAACCGCCATTAACGATTTTTTTTTTTTCTCTGTTGGATTTCCTGGGAGCCGGATGACTTGCTAGCTTTTTTGGCGGATGGCACACAACGAGCGAGGGGAGTTGACCATCACGCCCAGGGTGTGTAAGCGAGTACCGTTAGATGGCAGGCTGCAAGTCGAGACGAATCGGTACGATTCACGAAGCGTGGTCGGCAGACTATTGACGTTGGCGACTGGAGTATGGAGTTGAAGATTTTTCGAATTCGGCGTTGTCACGTATCTGTGTGTCTGTGATGTAAGTTAATCTGGACTGGTGTCGTGTCTCCTGCATTCTGTTTTTGTTGCCTGGTTGTCATATTTTCTAAGGCCAACGTGGAGAGATGCGTCACAGCATGGTCTCGGTCTCCATGGAGGGATATTTGTCGTCCGCCCTCGGGGTTGCTCTGAGTACACACACGGGTCTGGCAGAATCGCAGGCGGTGCGGTGCGGTGCGGTGCGAGACCTGTCGCGGGTGTGGTTGGGTTCCAGGCAAAAGGTGGTCAAAGGTGGTAGGCCAGGTAGGTAGGGTGGCGAGCGGTAGCGTAGCGTATCCGTGCCGCTGCCGCAGTGAATCGTCACAGGCTCACACCTCAGTCAGCAGTGTGGACGTGGGCAGGCTGCTGTGACTGGGTTGCGTCGGTATTGATTCTCCGGTGCTTCGTCTGCTCTCGCAGTGTGGTTTTGTTGTGTTGTGGTCGTGTTTTAGCGTGGGTTTTACTCGGCAGACACCCGGCCAATGAGAGACACACCACGGGCTTTTGCCTTCAAAGTGCCTTGTAGTTTGGAGTGAGGCAGGCGGACCCACCTGAGCGGCTGTGATTGGTGAGACGGGCAGGGCAGGCACCTCATACAATGAAGGATGGGGAGGAGGATAGGGCAGGAACAGCGCTGGTTCCTTCCTGACGCAGCAGCTGTCCGGCATGAGCAGGAAGCAGGAGCAGGTGGTGCTGCGTGCTTCCTGCTGCTGCTGCTGCTGCTGCTGCTGGCTGCTGCTTGCTTCCTTCCGTCTTCCGCCTTCCTGCCTGACCCCCCCTTCCCTTCCCTTCCAGTGGGATGGTACTTTCCGCATGCGACTGCCTCCCTGGACGTGGCTCCGGTGCTTCCCTCCCCCTTGGACTTTCAGGCCAGGTCAGGTTACGAATACTCACCTCACACGCCGGCTGAGTGATTGACTGAGAGTGCAGCAGCCAAACGAGGAAGCCATGTGTACGAGTTAAATCGAGTGCAATGCCTCAGGCTCTTGGGAGTTGACGGTCCATCCACCACCTGCCTACGACCACCTGCCTAGGTTGAGTAAAGTACGGATACTCAGTCCACACACACGCACACACAAACAAACACAAGACGCATGAGTCCATCTCGGAGCCAGGCAAGCCAGCAGAGTACGAACACCACCTAGGGCCTAGGGCATAAACCAATGAGGGCCGGCTGTCAGCCATCCAGAAGTCCCGGTTTCCAGCGGTGTCGAAGAGTGTGTGAGCAAGTGTCCACCGTGCCGTCCAATCTGGATGCCGATGGGGATTCCTGTGTCCTAAAACGGGGTCGCGGGTCGCGAAGAGAGTACGTACCGGCACCATCTGCCACGCTCCTTCGCCTTTTCAGTTTTGACCAGGCGCACTCCCTCCTCAGTCTCACACTCGCTCGGTGCAGTCACCCTGTCGTCTCCACACCTGATCCAGGGCAGGAAGGTTCCACCCATATTTTTTTTTATGGCCTCTTGCTGCTGGTCACTGACGCCGATGCTGCTTTGCTGCCAGGGGGGGCTGCTGGTTGTCGGGTCCCTCGACTCAAAGGCCAGGCCTAGCCTGATGCCAGCAGCGTCAGCGCTGCCAGCAACCACCACTCATCTGGGCGGAAGCTTTGGCGAGACGTCGAGAGGTCAGTCTGAGTCTTGATATGGATGGATGATTGCGCTGCAGACACGACGCGCCTTGCAAACTCTGGTTGAGATGTACCACGCATGAGGGATAGCTAGGTAGCTGTCCATGGGCCGTGGAGATGATCGATGCTACGACGTGTCCTGTCCATCCATATCCGTAGACCGTGGAGATATTTTTGTTGCCTTCTTTGCTTTCTTGGATACCTACCTAAGGTAGATACGGATACAGAGTACTTCTGCTCGACAGTGCTGGCGTCCCCATTCGCATTTACCACTCAATCACCGCAGCCAGTGCCGGTGCCTGGCCATTTTAATGGCATCCACTTTTGCTGTCGGGCTGTCCTGGTGTGCCTGGTTCTGCTGCTGTCCTGCCCTGCCTGTCGGTCTCTTGCCGTGTCTGGCGCGGTACGGCGGTACCTGCCTGCGGGCGGGCACCGCACCTCAGAGGCTCAGGCTGCAGAACATTGCAGTTGCGAGAACGGGTACCTCCCGTGTACTTGACGTTCACACCAGATCTTGGTGGCGAATGCATGTACTCCAGATGTGCTGGGCAGCCGTACCTCCCCTTCCCCCCTGCTAACCCTGCCAACCCTCTCGACCCGACCACCCTCCTCCACCCACCACCACCACCAACTGAGGCAGGCGTGGACTGGATTTCATCTGCTGCTCCGGGCAGTGGCACCGTACCTCCTCACACCTTTCGCTTTCCCGGTCTCCCTTCCTCTCTCTCTCTCTCTCTCTCTGTCTCTTGCTGGGCGGATACCTTGCCCTTCGTTAGCACCACCTTGGCTTCCACTGTCCCCTCTGTGTACCTACCAATACCGACTGACTGAGGTGACCAGTGACCACCCACCCCCCCTGGTCGTCTCCCCGTCCCCAGTCCCAGTCCCAGTCCCAGTCCCCCGTCCCCGTCCGCACCTTTCCTCCTCGGGTCCTGCTCCTCCTGCTCTTCCCACACACTGGTCTGGTCTGTCCAGTGTCGGCTGCTGCTGGCTTCGCCCTCTCGCCTCCATTCACACGCACGCCGCCATCATTCCTCGCTCCACTCTTCTACCATCCTCACCCCCATCCACCGTCCCCATCCTCCCCAACTCCATCCATCCCAACCCGACCCGTCCCATCCATTTCACTCCTCGATTTTCTTCCTCGCGTCTTTTTTCTTTCCTCCCCTCCCCCAACCCTCCCCTCTCCCAATCCCCCAAAACCCTCGAATCCGCCGTATCACGACGAAATCCACCGTCCTCGACTCTCACGAATTCCCCCCTTCGAGTCGTCGACACCCAGGATTCAGGTTCTCGTCTCTCTCCCTCTTCGCGATCTGTTGCTGCCGAACGACATCCGTTGTCACTTCCGCCCGCCCTAACTTGGTCGAGTGGTTCGTTCATACGAGTTCGACCTTGAGCTATCAAAACACCGACCACCAAACCCGTGTTTTCTACCCTCAACAAGATCGTCCGCCAACGCCGTCTTTTTGGCATCGCGAACTCCGTCCGACATTCCCTTTCTTCAAGGTAAGCCCCGACTTTCCCATCGTTCGAATATCATCATCTCGTCGCCGCCCGCCCTTCGCCGACAGTCTGGTACACGACCTTCGTCCTATGCTCGACGCCCGATCCGACCAAACAAGACCATACGCGACACCGGCAGGTTAGCTGGGGCACTCTCTACAGCATTCACTCGCCCGACCTTCCCAATCGCCCAAGCTTTTCACCAAACGCCAAACCTGAGCTGGGCTCGACGCTTTCCGAACGCCAAATGTGCTGGGGTTGCATGACATCGGCTGCATTTGTTTCCCACAGGGGCCACCCTTCACTGGGACAGTCGCCCAAGTCGCCTCCCAGCACTCCCGCACTCCAACACCGGCCCGCCAGTACTTGACGCATCATTCGACGAAGCTTGTGTATCAGACTCAGGCACAGACTGTCAAAGTTTTTATTCTGTATCGACGCTCTCGCTGACATTGACCAATCCAGACAGTACTGCGGCTTTCCTTCTTCCTATTGCCCGACTTTCTTCATCCGGTGTCTCGCGGCTCTTGGATTCCTGACGCCCCGACGATCAACCTCAGTTAAAGCATCCTTTTTCCGAGTCAGCCATCACCAGTATCCATCCCCACGAAGATACTTAGTCTTCCTGGGTCATCGAGCCGTCATCGGTCACCGAATCACGACTCACCTAGTTTTCTTGTCCGACTCCTCCGCTTGACATTCGCTCCACGAAGTCGACCGACACGAAACCCTTGATGGCTATTCGCGGTTACTAAGGGCAAGCGTCTCTTCCAACCCTCTCTCACCGTCTCGATTCCACGGCCTTGGACATCACCATCAGCACACTGCGGCCCAGCCCATCGTTGCTTAGTGTCTCCCATCCAGGTGCCTCGAGCAACTTCCTTCCCGACAAAGGTCATTTCACGATCTTCGTCGGACCCCCTCTCAATACCGCCATCATGCCCGGAGGCGTCTGCGCTGTCCTCGACTACGAGGTTGACCACATGGCCGAGTTCGTTGCCGAGATGGCCACCCGTGTCGTCATGCCGCTGTCGAGCACCGCCGTCACGCCCCCCTTCCGCAAGTTCGTTTCGCAGATCCTCTCTTCGACGCGTCTGCCCAAGAGCACCATTCTCCTTGGCATGAACTACCTTGCGAAGCGCGTCAACACCCTCAAGCAGAACAACCCTGCCTACACGGTTCCTGAGGGTCAGGTCTGGCGCATGTTGACAGTCTCGCTTCTGCTTGGCAGCAAGTTTCTGGACGACAACACCTTCCAGAACCGCTCCTGGTCTGAGGTGAGCGGTATTCCCGTCGCCGAGCTCAACGCTCTGGAACATGAGTGGCTGGAGCAGTCTGGCTGGCGTCTCTACGTCAACCTGGACTACAGCGAGGACTACAAGGCTTGGCTCACCAGCTGGGACGAGTGGAAGGTTCTCAAGGACCAGGCCACAGCTCGCGCCAACCGCGAGAGACTTGTCCCTGCCATCGACACCAGCATCAACAGATACAGCGGTCGCACCGCTTACAACCACTTCGTTCAGCAGCAGGCAGCTGAATACGAGCGCTACGAAGCCATCAAGCGCAACGAGATTGCCCACCAGCAGGCCTACAACTGGAACTGGCAGGCGGCACCGCTCACCCCTCCCGACTCGGGCTACGGCACACCCGAGTACATCAACTCTGCCACGTCGGCCAACGCCCGATACAACGAGTGGTTCTCTCAGGCGGCCGCTAATGCCCAGTGGAATGGTCGCTACCAGCAGCCCTCTCACAACTACTACAACCACCGTCACAACCAGACTTACTCGGGCCACTACGGCTACAACCAAACCATGTGGGAGCATGGTGTTGCTGAGTGCAATTGCGCCAACTGCGTCGGACCTGCTGTCAAGCCGCCCGGCTACTTCGCGCACCCCGGCTTCGGCCAGCCCGTCATGGGCTGAGCCCCACCGGCGATACTGGACGGACACAACCGTCTATGAAATTGGCAGGAATTTTGTTATCGGAAAAGTTTGGGAGGTCTAGCGTCACCGGAGACGCAGGCTTTTGTTCTTTTTTCTTTCGGCATGACGATACATTTGCATTCTTCAGATACCCTCTCACGACGAGAAACCGAAAGAAGCGGTCACTTGACCCGATGGTTCTCACCTCGGAGTTCGACCATCACGACTCGGGCGCGGTTCGACGCCTCCGACCCACCACACAGCTCCGGCTGCCGGGTGTTCTGATACCTGGTTCTGACGTGTCGGAGGTGGATGTTCACGATTCTGCGGCCGCGGCCCCTAATGACATATTTCTTTAATTCTTTGTGTTACCCTTGGTATACGGATAAAATTCATCATTGGCGTTTTACGGTCAACCCCTGCGATTCCCCTGGAGTTTGGACGATAGATTTTGTGGCTATCCGTATGGGTTATGTGGTAGGAGGTGGTCTCATCCGACGATCCGATTTTCTTCCGACCGGTTCGACGGCATAAAACCAGCGATCGCCACCGACAACGAAACCTCCCGATGTGCCGAGATGATGCTAGTACTGGACACCCTCGACTTTCTGGCGTCCCACCGTAGCTCATAGCTTACATCCTCGGGATGGACTCGCGAAGCACCGACAATATTCACTCGTTTGCTTCCACTTTCCTTTGTGTGGTCCGTGGAAGAAGATTGTATTGTTTTCTTGTAATTCTCATACTGGCCCTCACCGGGTTACTCCCAGTTGGCGCATGGTCTACCGGAGTCGGTCGTCCACGTCATCTGAGTTTGAGGTGACGCCTGGCTTTGTTCAATGCCCTTTGCGCTACCGCGTCAAAAAAGACAAGTTGCATGCAGTGGAGGTACATATGGATCATGTTTGACTTTTTCGGCTGGCCTCGGGCAGCCATTTGTTTGTTTGCAAGAATGAAAAAAAATGGGACTCACATGGAGAGGTGTTCTGCATTGCGCTGCAGGTCAAAACGGAGGGGACATCCCCCGGCAGGTTTTTTTCTCGCTTTTCTTTTTGGGAGTTTATTTTCTTTACTTTGTTACGCGGCACTTTTTGGACGGTTGGCAATCGGTACGCTCTTCTCGTTCCAGACTGAACGAGAAAGTGAGACGCCGCAGAAGCTCCGCCGTCTTCTGTTTATGACATTCTTAGACGTCTCTTATTCTTATTTTCTCTTCGTGTCAATTTGGCATTCACTAGAGAGCGTTATGGCTACGGGGTATGAATTATCAGAAGGGTGGCAGTTAATGCGGGCTCGTTCTTGCACGTATAGCCATTGGGATTGCGGTTTTTTTACAAGGTCTGTATGACTTGGGGTTTCGGAGAAAAAAGCCAACGGGACTGGCAACGGACCTTCCACCACGTGTGCAGCGTCGGCCGACTTGAGCGACACACGAGCGTGTCCTCGCTCCCACGCCAAGTGTAAGCTGTCGACACAATGGAAAATGGTTTGGATATGAACACGAGGGAAAAGATTGGAAGGAAAAGCAAGGATAACAAAACGCGTGCAAGAAGCACCGACGCATGGGCACGACCCATACTACTGGAAGACGCAGTCCTAGACAAACAGATAAATACACAAAAACTTGAACCACTGCAAACACCAATTGAATACAAAGTGAACATGACAAGTTGATAGTGAAGCGGAATCAGCTCATGTGAAATGGACGTGATGGGAATGAAAGTTTGGGCGGCCTGCGCCATTGAAGTGACATAGAAATTGGCTGCCGTTAAAGACGGGAGCCAAAAGTGGGGACGGATGAAGACGGATGCTCTGATTCGTCAACCTTCCAACGTCTCTCTCCACTTTCTCCAGCTACCCAGCCTGGGGCTTTCAAGATCCATCGTAAACACCACGAAACCATCAACGAAGTCATTCATCAGCCATTTAAACCGCTGTGCCATCGAAGAACACAGTTTGTCTTGTTTGCACGAGCTGATTTCTCTTCTGCCGATTTCTCACGATCCTATTGCTCGGGGCATCCCGAAAAAGTCGTTTACCCTTCCGACCTTTCAAACACTCGGTGCTGGTTGACCGTCGTTCACAACACGACGTCAGCGACCAAGTCTTGAGATTTAATTTCGGGCTGCACTCAAAAGTACTGTTTG